CTTTAAAAAAAAAACAAACTTCACCCTTCATGTGATTTTTTTTCCGAAAGCATATCTCAAGTCCTCCTGGCCAGTTTCCAGAATCGGTTTTTAAAAACTCTTCCATCCTCCATCGCACAAACAAAATAAACAATAATTACCTAACTATTAAAATTATTATTATTTTTCTTAGTGGTTTATGGGAAATAAAACACGAGTATAATTTTTATGTGTCTGTATTCCATATTCCATACCTTCCAGTTTCCCTAAAGACCTTTTCAAATTTTCCCAGGCAAAAACATAATTTTTCTTTTTTCTTCAAATTACACTGCCCCCAGCCCCAGCCTGCTGTTTTTTGTTGTTAATTATTGTTTATTTCGTGATAGGTAAATTGGCCAGCCAGGGGTCACTGACCTGACCTATGGTAAACAAAAATCGCTTTTATCGTTTTCGTACTTTATACTGTGCCGGATTAGTACAGATATCGATTTCTTTGTTTAATTCGCATTTATAGACAAGGAAAGAAAATTCTCGATACTAGTCGATACTTCAATTAATAGATGTCGTTCCTCTCGTTTTTCTTTTTCAAGTTTCAAGTCAAAAATAGGGCTGTACGAAAGTCGATACGCAAAGCGATTTTGATAAATATATGCCTCCTTTTTTGTCCGATGTGGTCAAAAAGAAAAAAAAAAGATTCGTTTGGAACATGGAAATTTGGCAAACAGTGATTTTTGATTGGTGCAAATTTATACCGCAAAATTCAAATAATCCGATTTTTTTCTTTCAATTTCTGACTCCAAGATTTTTAAAAAAATTAACCAACCATACTTTTATGTAGTACATTAAATACACTTTCGTTACAGATAAATTATATACCTAATTTTAATTGAGTGCAAGAGGTCCATTATTTAAGGCTTGTTTACACGAGTCAAGTTGTGGGTCAAGTAACTTGCCTTCGCACTTGCCTGGTTATGTTCTACCTGACTTGACTCACCAACAAGTAAAGCATACGCGTGTAGTTCAGTAGGGGCGCAACTCGACTCAACATGGCGGAACCACACCTGTTTTATTTAACTTAACTTTAGCTTAACTTGACTCATTTCTACATTGGTAAAATAAATGTTCAACTAGAGGAGCAAGTGATAAAAGTGGTAGTGGGGATGACAGTCAATTCAAGCTACTTGTCCACTGTGCAAACTCACTTGTTTCACTACTTAACGTGAGTCGTTACTTAACTTGACCGAAACTATTCACTCGATGCAAGTAAAAAAAATTACTTGACTAGCACTCCACATGACCGTTTACTTGACCCATGTAAGTTCTGCTTGACCTCCATTTACGTCGGATCAATCTTTTTTCACAACCGCCTCTGAAAATAGAGTTTTTCTACTGACGTTTCATAATAGCGACTTTTCGATTGTCATTTTAGTTTTTAAATGGCATTCTTTTAAGCACTAGTGCGTAAAAGTGATACTTTTAAGCACTAGTGCGTAAAAGTGACACTTTTAAGTACTAGTGCCTAAAAGTGTCACTCATTGTTCAGAAATAAAAAACACAGATTTGAATTTTGTCTATTTTTTCATAAATGTTGTAAATGCAATTATTTGAACTACTAAAGTAAACGTTTGGGTTACTCAAAACAGAACTTTCTGTTGTTTTTTTTAATAAGATTTCAATTTTCAATCAAAAAAACCTCATGAAAGGTGTCAATCAAAAGCAGGTGCCAAACTTTTTTGGCGTGATCGGCTCTTATTTACGAGGTATAAAATTATGTTTTTTTTTTCAGTATAAAACGCCAGTAGAAAAAATCTTGTATACAACACGTAACGAAACGATGTCTTTTAGTCACTCGACGTGTTGTCCAACTCGGCTACGCCTCGTTGGACAATTTTCACGTCGCGTGCCTAAAAGACACTCATTTCGTAACTTGTTGTATAAATAGCTATTTTTACACGCTCCTCAGTCAGCGTGCAAAAAAGTATTTCTCACGCTTAGAATTCGTTTTTTATTTATTTTGGTCCTATCATGACAACATAAATTGCGATTGTCACCAAAGCGAGTTTAACTTCTTGAATGTTTTTATTTTAATCGGTGACTTTACCGATGTGAATGGAATATGGTGATGCCATCGGTGAAATTAAATGAGCATAATAACGCAGGGCCTATAATAATAAATGAAATACTTCAAAATGGAAAGCTTATAATAGGGATAAAATAAATAAATAAATGCTAGCCACCGATCAGGTTCTCAAAATATTCTGCATGAGCTGCTCTACACTGCCTAACTCGAAAAACGTTTTCCCTGATCTGTGGAGTTATAGATGTAAACATCTCACGAATACGGTTCTGAAGAACGTCCAAAGAATGTGGAGGTGTTGAGTATATCCTATCTCTCAAATATTCCCAAAGAAGAAATCGGAAGCCGTGAGATCTGGGGAACGAGGTGGCCACGCTATCGGTCCATTGGTACTATTTGGTAGTTATAAGATGGTCCCCAAACCGTTCCCTTAAGTAATTCCTCACTACATAAATATTGTGGGTAGGGTTCCATCTTGCTGAAAGTAAATATCCCTCTCAATTTCCAAAGACAAACCTTCTAGGAATTTCTCTATTTCATTCTGAAGAAATCCAAGATATCTTTCCCCAGTTAACCGCCCTTGGAAGAGTATTGGCCCCACAATTGTCGTTCCGAATTCCGTTCTTTTGACCAATATCTAGTATTCTGCCTATCAAACATTCCATTATTCGTAAATCGTGATCAATTGATCAGGCTTGATGAAGTTGATATTTAAATGCCTTATATCCATGTTTTTTTAAAATTTTTCATGCTGATTCGTGACTCATTTCAAGTTCTTGGCCAATTTATCTGGTAGATGCAGTAGGGTTCATCTCTACGAAAGCCAACACATTTACTTCCATTTCTTCATTTCCGTAATTGTTTAGTAAAGGTCCTTCACAAAAACACCATGATTTTTCTTTATAGGCAGTTAAGTTTTATCTCAAAATATTGTCTCATGATCAAAAATGTTGGCGCAAATAAATATCAATTAATTAGTTTGATTTTTTTGTACCATAATATTAAAGGACTGATTTTAAATAATTACCTATAAGTACTAGTTTAGTAAAGGTCCTAAAGGACAAAAATGTCATGCTTCTTCTTCATAAAAACTTCAGGTTGATCCTGAAATATTGTTCCATGATTGGAGATGTCGACGCAAATGAGTAATTATTAGTTAATTAATTTTTTCTCCAAACGTCAAAAAAACATCACTTTGTCAACACCTGTCAAGATGGTAGAAATTCAATTTCTATGTTGCTAGGCAAATCCAGGAGGTTAACACCTGTCGAGGTGGTAGAAATTTAATTTCTATGCTGCTTGGCAACCCCAGCGGCAGCAAAAGTACTTTTGGTGCCGCTGGAGCGGCAGTAAAAGTACTTTTAGTGCCGCTCGTACTTTTACTGCCGCTCAACCATCCAGTTACCCCCGAGCTTACCACATTCGTTTGGAGAAAAAATAGCGTGTTGCATACGGAGTAGAAGCACTTTTTTGTGCTTCAGCAGTATTGCAAGCCTCACTACGTTCGGCTCGCAAACCCACTGCTTCAGCACAAAAAAGTAAAGCTTCTACTCCTAATACAACAATATACTATTATCCCATTTTGACGTTTAAAAATGACATTATTGAACGCATAATAATAAAGGTAAGTAGACATTTATCACCTCAGTGATTTAATAGATATTTATGTTATAAGGATCATAATGATTGTTTATGATCCGAATTTCATACAATATTTTATATTCCGGCGATTATAGTCAATACATTGTTCTGTTACATTTGAGTTTATCGAAAATAATTGAAGAATACTAATTTTAGTAATGTGCTTGACTGCTTGACAACCATAGTAACAACGGAATTTTTTGTTTGTATTGTCATATTGTCAAAGTTAAATTCACTGGAAAACAATGTTCGACAATTTCGACACCTACGTCCAAGATCAGTTTATCGAATTGTAAAGATTTTGTAATTAATTTTAATCGTTAAATTTTGTTGTTTCCAATAGATGTTTCATATTTGTGCCTGCTATTACTATATACTTTTTTTTCATTATAGTACTGAGTACTATAATGATTTCATTATCAAGGTAAATCTAAATAATTTTACCTTTAATAAAGCTGCTGGTGATTATGTTTTATGATACCTTTTCGGCTATTTTTATGTGAATTTTGAAGTGAGAATATATCGCAAATTTTTAGAATGAAGATAAACCAACTATATATTTGAAATGAGAAAAATAGGGACGTTAAAAAAATTGACTTAAATATAGGTTATTCCATTTGAAAAAATTACTTTTTTGGTCACCGAGCTTCAACGAAAAATCTTATCCCACTTATTGGCCGCTATTGTAAAACTGATGTCACAGGGGCGTCGCGTCGGGGGGGGGGGGGGGAGGGGTAATGGGGGTAATCACCCTCACTCTCTCTCTCTCTCACTCTCTCACTCACTCACTCACTCACTCACTCACTCACTCACTCACTCACTCACTCACTCACTCACTCACTCACTCACTCACTCACTCACTCACTCACTCACTCACTCACTCACTCACTCACTCACTCACTCACTCACTCACTCACTCACTCACTCACTCACTCACTCACTCACTCACTCACTCACTCACTCACTCACTCACTCACTCACTCACTCACTCACTCACTCACTCACTCACTCACTCACTCACTCACCCTCAACGAATCGATAAATAAGTATTCACTTTTATCACGTGTACTGTCCTGCACGCGATTTTTTTTTTTTTTTTTTCAAAATTATTACTGTAGTCAAAAGCGATGTGACAAGACACAGATAGGAAATACTAATGTGTATTATTCTTTCAGCCCTGAAGAAGGCCTAATATAAGGCCGAAACGTCGGCGAATTTTTAATCCAGGAGTTTGATTTTTGTCCTAAACCTCACTATTGTCTTCCACTATACAAAAAAAGTTTTTAACAGGTATCCAGGTAGGAATCTCTATTGAAATTTTAGGCAATTTACTCAAAAAAAACAAACACCTGAAGAAAAAATACATATTTAATAAAAAAAACAAAACTGAACAAAACTCCAATAAAAATGTTAACGCCTAAAAATAAGATTTAATCAAAAATTTCCTCGATTATCATTTTCCTTTCTGTTTCTCTTGCTGTTTTCGAATCAACTCTCTCTTGCCCTCCGCAATCTTATTGAATACCGCTCTCTCTTTTCCCAAAGGAGTTTTATTGTACCTAAGAAAAAGAAAAGAATTAGCTTTAGGTAAGTGTCCCCAATAGGTTTTCGAAAGTTTTTCATTGAATTAATTTTGTTTTTTTGCTGGATATTGAAATGAGATGCTGTCACCCAAATTATACTTTTCTTGTGAATCAGTGGGAGTCCATACAAATAAATACAGAGAGCCTCACCATTTAGTATACTTTTTCCACTCTTTATCCGATATAGGCTCTATCTGTTCATCTATAAATGGCCCAATTAACTCTTGCGCTTTCAAAGGATTATATTTCAATTTAATAATTCTCCTTGGAGTGAGAACCTGGAACAGGTCTTATTTAACTAACTGACAATTTATAACTTAATCCATAAATGAGGTAAGTACATCTTTAACAATCTTCTTCAAAACAGGATAAGGTTGATTTTCAGTCATTGTAGCCAAGCTGGTGAAATTGAAGTTTCTGTCAACTCCATGGTAAGGCCTTAACAGTTCTCTCCACCACAGGTAGACACTTCCGTAGTCAGGTCTTGGAATTAGGATAGCCTGAAATACGAAGTACCAAAAAACAATTTTAAACTTCTCACAACTATGTTTTGATCAAGTGAAAAATTGGTGAATGGTTTGTGAATAACTATAATGCTCCCTGCAACTTCAAAATAAAATAGCGTCTATGCATTTTCCTTACATGAGAATGAGTGGAAACAGTTTGAATGTTTCACGCTAGAAATATATAGATTGAAAACTGATATGACATAGTAACTTATGTATAACACAAGAATAATTCCCCAATCATAATCCAAAAATGTAAAAACTAATATCTTATTGATGTGAATCTAGCCCTTACCCTTTCAAAAGCTTTTTTTAATTTCGCAGCCTGAGCCAACCATGGTGCTCCAGTGGTACCCAACACCAAAACCCTATCCTCTGGCTTAATGGTTTTTATAATGCCTTTAACCAACTTTTTGCCTACTCTTTTCGGATCCAAGTCTTTTTCTTCTTTAGGTACTTTCTTGTAAAATAATCTTTCCGCTCTATCAAAATATATTATCGATGGCTGGAGGAGTTTCGACATTTTCGTTACAAGATGAATCAACATAGCTAATCCCTAAAAACAAAATTACTTTCAATGTATCAAGTGACAGGTATATGAAAACTAGCCTTATTTCCTGGATAAATATCTGCAGTTACTTCTGGAGACAAATCGAAAAGTACACATTTGGTATGATTGAAAATGGCGTTAGCCAAAAGATCTTTACCGCTTTGTCTTGGACCTGCTATGAGTACTGACCTACAAAATAATATTATACTAACTATAGAGGGCCCAAAACATACAGACCGGACCAACCCACTAGACACATAGGGAGTAATAAAACGAATAGGCTTGTACGCTGCAGGTCCATGCAGTGAAATGGGTATCAGTCAACTGGCCATAGAAAAGTGATTTATATTGTTGATATAGAACGCTCACTTCTGTTGTAGTCGCCAAGTGACATTTCTGACGGTGCTGCCACAGCGGTGTAGTCATGAACTAAAACAAAAAGTGGAGGGGATGAATCCAGTGGATGTTCTATTTAAGAATATAAATCACTTTTCTATGCAACTGGCCCCATTGAAGCCTATGTGTCTACACTTTATTTTTTTCCAAGATAGATTTTGACATTGTCAACTTTGAAACATAAACAATGCCGCTAATGCCACTTATTGGCCGCTATTGTAAAACTGATGTCACAGGGGCGTCGCGTCGGGGGGGGGGGGAGGGGTAATGGGGGTAATCACCCCCCCCAGGATCCAAAATTCAAGGGAAAAATTACGATGCCCAAAAGAAAATACATAATAATATTAAAGAAAATACATTTTTTTTTTGTTTTATTTTCCTCACAAAGCAAATTATTTTTCTGGAAAAGTGAATGACCTTGAAACTGGCAAAAAATTTCGCCTGCGGCGCGTTAGCGGGGGGTCGCATCTTCCCATTACCCCCCCCAGACTGCAAGTCACGCGTCGCCACTGGATGTCAACCTGCAGAAACACCTCATTTTGCGACCAATCAGGGTCAAGCGTTATTGTTTATGTTTCAAAGTTTTCAATGTCAAAATCTATCTTGGAAAAAAACAAAGTATAGTAGCCTGGTCCTTGTATATATGTCTATATCTACCTTGGTTTTTTCATGACTTCAACTCCGAGCGGCTGAATGCAGTTAAGAGTAATAGCTTGTCTTACATCCAAAATAGAGGCTGGTGGATCAAACTCTCTGGCTCTCAGTACCGCATTCTTGTAACTGTTAAAATCGTCAATTCAATTGACTAATAAAATTATTTAATCAGCTATTTGCTACCTAAAATCCCCAACAAACTCGTCCAACCTTCCTTCAGGGTAGGTCCTAATAATTCCATTGTTAACTAGCTCTTGGAACAAATCTTCAGTCATTCTATCTGCTGTCAAATCTTTTTTGCCTTTCTTTTTACCCTTCTTCTTTCTTTTTTGCTTTTTCTTTTTGTATTTTTTACCTTTGTCCTTCGCGAGGGCTTCTTGAAGGAGGTCCAGTTCCACTCTAAAACAACTTTTGTCTTCTTCAACAATTTAATAGAATAGCCAAGCGTTACCTCATTAGTTCATCTGCAACTTTTCTAACTTGCAATTGAACTTCGAGACATTGCTTCTCAGTAATTAAATCCATATAATATGTTTCCTCTGGATTTTCAAATTCGTTCCTTTCGTTCCAAATTTTCTTGAAATCTTCCTCGCCAAGATTCCTTAAGGGTTTCGATAAAGTCTCACCATATTCCAACTCAAACTCGCCAGCTTTCTTTTTGAGTTTCTTCATTTTTGCTTCGGCCTCTTTCCTTTTCCTCTCGGCTTCTTTTGCCTTTTTTTCGGCTTCCTGTTTCTGTTTTTTCTCTTTAGCTTCCTTCGCTTTTAAAGCCGCAGCACCACCAGATTTCACTTTTTCACGCCTTTTTCGTTCATATTCATCCAAATACTCTTTCGGTGTTAGAGTTTCACCTCTAACCACCAAAACGGTACCACCCTTCTCTTCAACCGGATAAGTATCGAACGTCTTAGCTCCGACGTACCAAATGCGGAACCATTCGCGAATTTCATCTTCAATGTCCTCTAAAAGTCCCGGAGCTACGACCCGGAGAATTCTAGCCTTTTCCTTATCGATAGCGTCGATGTATTCTTGTATTTTTTCATCACGATATTTGCGACGTACGTCCAAGTTGGCTTCAAAGATTTCGAAGCATTTGGTGGATCTCCAACTTGGTTCGGTCATACCTGAGGATATAAGGATCAAGAGGTACGTAAATGAAGGTGTAGATGTTTAGTAGATTATGAATAAAATGCTTTGACTAAAGAAGGTGGTTCAATCCTGGTAGTGGGGTGAGGTAGCTGAAAATTATGCCAGAATATTTCACGACTTGCAACCAATGCGCCCCTCTGGGTTCAGATAGTACATTGAGTCTAAAAAGCCCGGGACATAATTTTTTCTGGCCCTCTAACGGTGTTGATAACGTAATCATTATTGGCGTCTTATTTCTGGGACATGATTCTACAATTCCCTATATAACTTGAGTTTGTATTTTAATATTAACTTATATCATTAGCATTAGTGAATAATAATCAGGAGAAAACGGGCTTTCCAACAGTATATTGCACATCATCATTCAGGTACATAATACCAGAAATACTTGCAAATAATGAAATAGTTGATTTTTCTTTCGATTTTAACGAACAATAGATCGAATAAGGTTAATAGTGGGTATAGAATGGACAGTCCCGTTATACGGATCGGACAACCATTTGTGGCGCTATCTGTTTTCTATGAAATGAGCTCATTCTATTGTAGCAGCTTGTAGAGCAGTTTGCTTCTTATTTTTTTTTAGATTTGCTTTTTATTTATTTTATAATAAAGACACGATTTGATGCAAATTTAACAAATAACGGTTTATTACAAAGAGAGAAGAAAAATATGTTGGCTTTTCGAAATTTGTCAACAAAAGCCTCTTTCCAGCTGCCCATTTTGAGCACGCAATCGAGCTTTTGTGCGTGTTTGTGTTCCAGCCGTACTGCGCTCCGAGATCTGCTAACTTTTGCGTTTCAAACACAGAACACTGTGCTGCACCGTGCTTGAAGCACACAACTAGAAAGCGGCTAATGTCAACACTTAACAACACAACACAGAATTAAATAACAATAATAGTCTTTACACTAAACCTAACTCTGTGAAAGTCCAAAAATACACACAGATAACGCTCTATCACTACGAAACACTTTTTCAACGAACAGAAATATTAAAGCAACAATAAGAAGCACAACGTTTTCCAGTTCATCGTTTTGTCATCATTTGTCATTTCATGAATTTATGTCGGTTCATGTCATAATTTAATTGACCTTTTATTTGGACGCCATATTGCGGTGCGCGAACATAGTTGCAAACAGTAGAAAAAAAATGATTAGCGTTCTGTCAACCTTAAAATCCAATGTTAGTGAATAAATTACATTCAAAATTTAAATTTGCCGGCTATTACGAATATTTTTGGAAAGGAAAGCCATCAATTTTAGCTTGTATTGGGCAGAATAGAAATAATAAAATATCTAGTTGACAGCCCGCTAGTAATTTTTGGTTTTCTTGTTTTGGCAACTATGTTCGCGCACCGCAAAATGGCGTCCAAACAAAAGGTCAATTAGTAATCACGTCACCCTTCTTCTGAAGCGGAGATTCCTTGGAGATACAATCAACATTGCGTACGCAAATCAATTGATAGCGCCTCTACCGGGCATGAAACAAGTTTTTCATCGAACCAAGTCAGGGGCGGATGGGGAGCATAAAACCGGCCCGGGAAACCGTTGGCACCGGCCCGGCATGCCAGAGATCAGTATTTGATTTTGGGGGCTGTGAATGAATCGCGCCGCAGCCATTTTTTTTTTTAAGTTCAAGGTCTCGCAGCTTCAAAACCTCCTAGTCCCATTTTTTTCTGAAACACCTGCTACATATACTTGTACTATGCCGATGTCCTAACCTTAGATGGCAAAGACAGCAGCCTAAGACAGCGGGGGACACAGTATCCAAAACCAAAGGAAATCGCGAAAGCGAATATCAGAGACATCCTAGGTTTTACTAAGGGAATGGACCTGATATGAATAATTCAGGGGGGCACAATAAGCCACGAACTCCAGTGCAGGTGTCCGCACACCTCAAACTCATTTTAAAACCATTTTATGTATATATTTTTCTAAATCTTTGATGAAGAAATTTCGTGTCTCGATTTAAGATAATAAATTAATGAATAGTGGGGATAAGGCCAATTTTTATTTTTTCAGAAGCACACAAAAAATGGAAATTGACGTGTCCGAGAGGAAAGTGTTAATTCCAGAATAACAGGGCCAATAGATTGTTTCTTATTTATCCCATGGAAACTTTGACAAAGATTATCTTGGGCACTAATCATTCGATTTTCAAAGAAAATACGCAGTTGTGACGAGAATCAAAATACCTTCAAGCAAGGTACCACTCGCCATCTTCCGCATCTTCCCTATCTAAAAAAGTGGGGTGAAGTCATCCCACCCAGGGGGTGCACCTTGGTGAAATACCGATGGGGCCGAAAAGTTTCCCCCTTGAATACAAAAATGACGTGTTCGAGCGTTTTTTTTTTTAAATCGACCCTAAAATACCCTAAAACGCCTCTGTTTCGATGTTCGCGAAACACCCTGTATGTTTCCGGGCCGGTCCAACCGGCCCGGAAGCAAGCGGCCCTTCGGGAAACTTCCCAAAATCCCTGTTGGCCCATCCGCCCCTGAACCAAGTGGTACATTTCACGATCGCGGGGTATGCAATAGATTTTTCTGCATTTTTGACCGGTTGACAGGTCGCAAAACTCAATATTCTGGTATTTTGATTATGGTTCAATAGTTGCTAAGGAATCAATGAATAACAATACGGCAAACACTTTTCCGGCCTAGGCCGAGAAAGTGATTCTCGTACTGCTGAACACTTGGAACCAAAAGACAAACATTTAACAGGCATTTAACCGATCGCAGAAAAAATAGTATGTGTATTTCAGTAGAAAAGCACATTCTGTGAATGTGTCACTTTTCCACCTAAATACACAATATACTATTGTTAAATAACCTAGAATTCGTTATATGTAGCTAAAAACTTGTAATCGTTTTTGTGCGCGAAAAAACCTTTCCTACGGTATACAAGGTGTCCAAGATAAGGATGTCTATCATAGGGATCTCGTAGACGGTATTCCGACAAGTTCCGAAGATATTCGTGAAAACCCGAAATTTCCCGAATTTCGGAAAATTCTCTAGAAGTTGTAGTCCAGGAGGTGGCAATAAAAACATGCAAGAGTTTTCGCAAGGCGGATATTTTCAAAATAGGTCGTACTTTAGTGCTAGAATGCTAGTGTACAGTCAGCACTCACAGTTCCGGGACAGCTGGCTCTGGGACGCGGGCAAAGTTGTAATTTTAAGAAGCATCTAAACTGTTTTGGCATTTTCTTCAAATATATTTGTCAAATACCTGCAAAAATATATTTTGACACGACACCGAAGAAAATGCCATAAAATAAAAGCTTTGAGGACGTCTGACCCCCTTTTTGCAACGAACTAGACGTCTGACGATTTACATACGTTATCTGTGACCTTCAAACAGATAATGTGCAAAATTTCTATAAATTTTGAGCTTTGAGAAAACAGTTTAGATGCTTCTTAAAATTACAACTTTGCCCGCGTCCCAGAGCCAGCTGTCCCGGAACTGTGAGTGCTGACTGTACACTAGCATTCTAACACTAAAGTACGACCTATTTTGAAAATATCCGCCTTGCGAAAACTCTTGCATGTTTTTGACGCCAGCTCCCCAACTATTGTCAATTTTTTTAAAATTTGTTGGATGCATTTTGTTAGTCATTATTTATTAAATAGGCGCAACTTTTTTCCCATTTAACCATTCCCGTATCTGTTACCGGTTACGAGATCCCCATGATAGACATTCTTATCTTGGACACCCTGTATATAACTGCTATTTTCTAATCAACAGTTACTGCAAATCTGCCAAAAATGTTTATGTAAATAAGTTCTAGCTTTTTCAGGACGATGAAACTTTCATTTCCATTCCAAAATCAGTGACATGAGCCACACTTAAGGGATAACTATGTATAATGTAAAATATTATTCCACTTTAATAGCGAAATATAATAACATCATATTCAATGTAATCCAAATAATGTATTTTTCTCCGAATGACAGTAAAAGCGGCCTTTTAATGACACTTGACAGGATCAAAAGTTGTATTTTTACTGCCTAGGCAGTAAAAGTGGACTTTTACTGCCTAGGCATTAAAAGTGACAGTGTCACAACGTTCCAGGTAAGAATTTCACTCAATTTGCTATTTGAAATTGATGGTGACAATGACAATTGTCAAAATAATTTAATTATTTGGATAATAATAATGAATGAAATAAATATAAAAATAGTATATTATGCAATGATCATGTAATGATAGCCATTAATACACGAGCATGTTGTAGGATACGAAACGAGCCGCAGGCGAGTTTCGTATATAACATGCGAGTGTATTAATGGCTATTACATGAGAGTTGCATACACTATTTTTTCTACTGCCATTGATAAAACTTGATATGATGATATTTAGATATGTCAACATTACGCTTAACTTTGAATAGAGATGTTATAATTGAGTAATCCATAGAGTTGAAGGTTTCATTTTTTGTTGTAATTCTTCAAAATATACTATCAAAACATTTTCTGAGAAGGACGATGTGTTTTTGGTGTTTCCAATCCATAAATTGTCCATATAATTTTTCGCAAATTTTCTTGGACTTGTCCGGTAGTATATTATTACCTGCATTTGTCGCCCTTTCTGTAATTTCTGGAGGTGTTAGTGAAAATTCTTCGTTATCACTCAATATTTCCATAATAATGCCTTATCCCAAACATTAGGTAACTTTTAATAACAATTCGAAGTATTTTTTTCATGAAATTATTGTTTTTCGCTAAATTACCATGGAAAAGCCATAAACAGAGTGCTGTCATCATTCAAAAAAAAAAAAATTAAAATTTCTTAACTGGTGGCGCCATCTATTGACAATGTATAATAATGACAAAAGTAAAAATTCTTCCTTATCACTCATTATTTCCCATAATAATTATTCTTTGTCCCAAACTTTAGGTAACTTTTAAACAATTCGAAGTATTTTTTATAGTTATCAAAATAATTGTTTTACGCAAAATTACCGTTAAAAATGTTTAATATCTTAACTAGTGCTGCCATCTATCAACATTGTATAATATTAAAAATGAGTATTATAATGAAAATCTGTATCGTAATGAAGTTCATTATAATACAGATTTTAATCGTTTAATAGCGTATTATGAAATGTCAGTAGAAA